ATAATAAAGCTGAAAATACACAATTTAAGCAGAAACAGCAGTGTTTTTTATCGGAAATGAACAAAATCATTGATCATAGCAACTGTCTGAGATTAGCAGGGAGCCACATTTTCAAACATCCTGCAGTAAATCCAGAGCAGATCCAGCTGGAAAGCAAGAGTGGAAATAAAACTCGAAAATTCATACCATGCTTTGAAGTCTGTTTCTTTCACAACCATAAGTCCCTGATTTGCCCCAACCACTCTGAGCAGCTCTTGCTTTCTGAATTTATTTTGAAAGAGACACAAGCCATGCGATTGCATATAATCTTTCAAATGCACTCCAGCTTTTTGCAGGGATTGCTTGCTGGGAAATTTGAGTCCCAAAATATTTTCTCTTACACATGAAATAAGCCATTAATTCCCCTGACTCCAATCAGAATAGAAAGGCTTCTAGCACCAAAACTAGAAATCATTCTTTGTTCTAGTTTTGGTGCTAGAAGCCTTTTTATTGTGTTCTTTCCCTAACTCTTTCATGTACTTCTAATTTTTAGTTTTTGCGTGCTATAATCTATTGAAAGCTATTCATGCAGGTGAAAAGATAACTGATGTGCCAGGTCCTGAAATTTCAGTGTGGCAGCCTAATAATATCTTGCTGCTCACAAAGCCAAATGGGATTCCTGAAGTGGACGATGTCACCACATTGAAGTCACCCTGTTATATCCTCAGAAGAAAGATAAAGGCCTATGTTGCACTGAGCTGTCATCTTGCAGATGGCTCAACTGTCACCATACATCAATGTCACCTACCAACTGTGCCTCATAGATGGAAACTCAGCCAGTTCTTTTGCTCAAATCTCAGGTGACTTTAAAATAGGACACAGCAACTTGGGCCAGCTGGCTGTTAGCTCTTCTTCATCTTATAAGAAAAAGAAAGGATCCCTATGGCTGAAGTCCAGTAGTCCTTACTGTCTGCAGGGTCCCCAAGGAAGAACTGAAAGGGTAAGAAACAGAACAGTCACCACAGTAAATCCCTGAACTCTATGATGACCTATGTGTGTGGAATTTCTTCCGATAAAGCAAAAACTGAAGAAATTTAAATCGCAGGGCCCAGTCTAGAACAACGTAAAATATAAGCACAAAAGCTTTATTTCTGCTCTACCACTCCTACTACACAACATGTTAGATGAGTAGAACATTACTAACGTCTGTTCCTGCTCTGACATTTCAGGATAGTGAGGTGGGTCTGAATGAAGACCAAGGGCACCCAGCCACAGGTATTTACAGAGTGGGAAGAATGACCATGTTGCTGATATTACCCTGCATGTTCATAAGGATCTTCAGAAATTTTAGTGCTGACACATAGCTCTGACGTCCTCCCTCCCTGTAGGTGCTTCTGGGCCTGCTATCTGCCTCTCTCCCACACCAACATGTACAACCAGAAGTGTGTGCCAACAAGTGAGGGGGAAAAACACATCAGGATAGTGATTTTTAACTTCTGTCAATTTGTGAAAGTCCTCAAAGTTCCAATCTCTCACATGCATTAAATAGTAGAGCTTGGGAAAGGCAGGCTGCAAACTGACAATCACACACCAGAGATGAGAAGATGAGAAACTATTTTAACCAAATACAGAAAAACTCGCCTTGCCCACTGAGTCCTTCTCCAGGTACAATTCCTTGCCATAGGAGAAACATCAGGAAAAAGCTTGCCTTTTGGGGTCCACTTCTCCCCTTTCTGGTGCTCCCATTTGGGAGGTGGAGAGTTCAACAGTGAAATGAAATGTAAATGAAGGAGATGTTCCATAGACTCGAACGGAGCTGTGCATAAACTGAATCCAAGAAACACCCAGGCACAATTTAATGGGGGGGGCAACATGAAAACAAAGAACTCTCAACTTTACAAACACTGGGAGGGCAACAGCTGGTCAGCCAGGATTAAAGGAGCGTGAGAGCGCACCTCCCCACCCTGGCTTCTCCTCCCCCTCGGCCATCCCTGCAGCCAGCCAGGGCTCACTTTTACAGCCCTGGGCAGATGACCTTGTTCTAGCTAAGATAGGGGCTCCTTTGATCTCAGCAGGGGGGTGTTCTGGGCCTGCAGCTGGCAGATATTAATAGCACAGGATCTGCTGGTGCAGAAGAGCTTTTGGGCCAGGTCACTCCTAGTCCCTCTTCTGCGTCAGAGCAGAAGGAACTTCATTTCCCGCACCAACCCCTGCTGGGTGCTCCTGCAGGTCAGCTCAGATCATTTTATCCCTGGCTGCTCTGGGCTGCTTGTTCTCACCCTACTACCACTTGCCAGCAAGTGCTGTTAAATCAGTGTCCTCCATGCCACAGCCCAAATCTATTACAGGACTCTGACAATCAGAACTCAAAAACTGTCTCTGAGTGGCTGCTCCTGAATGCAACAGTTATAATCTTCTAACCAGGACTGGAGAAGACTTAGGCAATCTTTTCTTTACCCAATCTAACACAACATAACAAGACACTGAGACCCACAGTGATTGACACAGTGTCTAAGATCAGTTAGCACAGAGACCAAGCTGACATGATGGATGTTTGAAACAATGAGAGCAACTGCTATTTTATATGAGACATGAAATATAGTATCATATAATATAGGAATATATATCACAACCATTGCAATATGTGTTAAGAAGACAAGTGTTCTAAGATATTTGTTCATTTTAATTCACTGGTAAGTAGCTTCATGATAGACTTTAGGAAAAATATTTAGATATCCTTTTTACCTGTTCAGCCATACAGAAAAACAAGATGTGGAAAAAGCAATTATTTCCATTTTCCTTTGGGTCTCATAATGAGGAAAACTGGTGGTGTAAGGCTGAGCCGGTAACCCAACTTTTCAATGCACAGGGGCCACTTTTTTGTAGCAATTAAACTGCAGCTCAGAACCATTTCTTTTGTCTCTATTTTATTCCTCTTCTTTGCTTCTGATAAACCAGGAAGCCACAACAAAGAATACTGTTTGTCAAATGAGGCAGCGAGATACTTTCTTTTGTTCAGCTTTGAAGCTGAACAAATGTGGGACTGTGCGTATGTAATTATAACAGCAATTTTTAATGATGTTCCTTTGTACTTTGTAAGATTCTCATGGTCACTGTTCCACCAAAGTATGCAGGGTAGAATTCATCCAGCTTTTACTGACTGCTTAAAATATGCCTGTAATCTTGCTAGTCACCAAGGTAAAATATGCATCCAGAAAGGACAGGACAAATTGTCCTTAAAAATCTGACAGCTTAATGTCAGAAAAATATGAGAGGTCAAATGAATTCTTTTAGACCTTTTCTTTACGTAGCTGAGCAAGAAAAGAAGTCAAGAAGGAGGAAGAGAGAGACCAGCTGTACAGGTGTGGAGGGTCCAGGCAAGAAGTGGTGTTGACTCCCAGAAGGAAGGGACTTGGAAGACGGTCCGTGGTGTTAGTGAAAGGGAAAATGCTGCCCCAGAGGGGGCGCAGCCTCTGCCACAGTGTGGGGTGTGGAGGTGGGAGTGGCCAGGTCAGCACACCGGTACAGGAGCCTCACATAAGGAACTAGTGGGAAGAAGGCAGGACAGGAAGGAGAGGGCACGCTGTGAAAGGCTGAGAAACATTAAGTTTATCTGGTGGTTTTCTGAAACTGGTCCACCCAAAGGAGGAAAAACAGCTGTCATTGCATTTGCTGATTCTGCAGTGCCAAGACTTCTAACCCAGCTGATTATGACAATCCCCAAATGCTCCAAATATTTTAAACTGTCTTTCTGATTTTAGCCATTCTCTCCTAAGACAACACCCAGCTTTCTGAGTATGAAAGAGATGTGGCAGAAGTTTAATTTGGTAGCAGCACAATGGCAATGGCAGAGACTAAAATTGGGAAAGTCTGTTGGATGTTATTAAAATAATTCTACTGTAAGTTTAATAAACTAGTTGACTATAACACAAATTACAAAAAAAAAAAAAAGGAGAAAAGATATATTGGGAGAGAGAAAACTTAAGCAGGCTCAATGAAAGAAAGGAGCTGGGGGTGGAAGAGATTCTAGATGATTCAGCTTTTCAGCCCAGGTGGCAGGAGGATGATAATGCATCATTAAATGTAGAAAGAAAGGATACGGAGCATTTGATAGCTTTTGTAAAGATATCATTAGTTTTCACTCAAAGAAACCATTAAGAAGTGGGAGTGTGGTTCTCGCAGCTTCTGAGAGCGTAAAGCTAAGCTGCTATCCATGGAAGCCCTTGTGAGCAGTCAAGTCAGGAGGCTTGGTAGACCTAAAAGCCCCCTGTATTCCATCACAGACAATTCTCAGAAAGTGGAAAGGGAAGAGAGCCTCAAAGCAAGAGGTACCTTACCAGGCCTATAGCACTGTATCTGAAATCCAACTACAACAAGAACTCAGAAATGTCAAGTAAGAACATTCAATAAAGCAAGAAACCACCTTCTAGCTTGCTGTAATTTCCCCAGCTACCTAAAGCTTATTACCGTCAAAACCAAAGCCAATCTGACCTTTGCTAATAAGAGAGGGAGGAGAAAATTTTGTACATTTATCACTAGGTTTTTAATCTTTCTGTAAAGTTCATCAGGAATGTCACATCTCTAGCACATGAAGCTGCTGTGCACTTTTACTCATACATGTGCTCAGGACGAAAGAAGACTAAACTGTCATAAGACTGCTGGCAAAGTTAACCATTAGTCTCAGAAGAAAGCCAATTAGCAGCTTGCCAGCCCTCATATTAAAGACCTAAGACAACCCATAGAACAGTGAGAAACTTCCAGATGGAAATGATGGATGCCTGTGAAAATGACACACTCAAGTGAAAAAGGAAGCTCACTTATAGGGGTGGGACAAGACTCCAAATGTAAGAGATCAGATGCCAAGAATGGTGGCCAAGCCCAAACCACAGCTCCACTGGCTTTGCTGGCTTCACTGGCCACGCCACCGGAAAGCCAGCTCTCAGCAGGAGGCAGAGAGGCAGTGTCGCTATGTATCAGTGGCTCAGTGTCGAGTTTCAGCCTCTCCAGGACAGATCCCTTACCTTCAGACAGGGACAAATCACCAGCTGGAGACACCAGGTCTGCCTGAGAAGCCAGGGCTCTGCTCAGATGCGTTGTAATTTGATTCGTCAAGATAACCTGTGAATAGACAGGGGAAGGGAGAAGAAAATAGGAAAAGACAAAATTAATTATTAGAAGTATCAAAAGGCAGACTGTGGGGTAGGAGAAGACTGATAACTATCCAGGTAGGAGAACCCAAGCTCTAACTTTTACCAACTTTATCTTCAGGCACGGTCCATCAGTCATTTAAAACCTACAGAACTAAGAAAACAGGCTTTTTTTCATAGCTTAAGTGGTTAATCAATTCTTCCTAAAGACTCAGAAAATTGAGACTAAGAAATGTTGCTATATTAACTAAAAAAAAATAAAGCTAACCAGAATTAAGATGCACATGCACAGTTTAACCACCTGAACTGTGAAATCCGTGTCTATAACATAAGATACTGTTAATGTGAGATAAAAGTAATAACTCGTAATTTGGATGCCCGTCACCTCTTCCTCTGCTACCTCAAAAGTCAGAGTTTTACTTCCAAATTTGTGAAACAGGGGTAAGATCATCTTTAGAGGAATAATGGTTCCTCAAATTAGTCAAATTCTAACAAATGAAATTCAAAGTCTCACTATTTGTTTAAAACATGAATTAACATCACCTTACCTATACAAAATAAAGTTCAAGCACTTAAAATTCCTGGAAAGAACTCCAAAACTACCTAATGCACATGTGCTACTGCCACACAAAATTTTCATATTTGTTACAGTCAAAACATATTCATTTCCTTAAAAAATTCTTATTTACAAAATCTACCTTATTGCTTAAAAACTTAAAGGAAGAATAAATGCAGATTCTCTCCTGGGAAATTGTAACATGCTTAAAAACTCAATGACTTCCAATGTAATGCAGAGATAGTGGTCTGAGTGCCTCCTTGGCAAGCACAAGGACCTGGGTTTGATCCCTGGTACCATATACTATGCTGGCCCCAGAACCCTGGGCACACTGAGCAGGCCACTGAAACTGGGTGTGGTGGTGCACACATGTAGTCTCAGATCTGGGAAGGCTGAGACAGCTGCATCACTATGAGTCCAAGCCACGTAGTGAGACCCTGTATCAAATAAATAATAATGATAATAATAATTATTATTATTATTTCTGAGATTTGGGGGCTTTCATTTTATGGGTAGAAACTATAGACATCCTGGCCACTCAGAGAAAAATGCCCCTTGGATAAAGCAACCTGGTCTCTAGGGCATGGATCAGTGCTTGGGATATGCATCTAGCTGAATTTCTTGGTCTGTCCTGAGGGTCAGCTAAGTCCTCTCCGCTTCATCACTCAGCTTTTCTGTTTGGGCTTTCAGACATGTGCCTATGATCAGTCATTTTTCTCTTTTGCTCTAACTGGGCTCCTTTGATTTTCTACCATTTCATCCTTTTCATTCCCTCATTTGTGGTGCTCTCTGTACCTCTTGCTTCCAATGTGGAGGAGTCTCACTATGTCTGAAACGATCCCTGCATGTGGATTGGAAGGAGCTCAATGACGCCATGGTTCTCTTCCTTTAGTTTTCCTGCCAGACCTAGTAACCGGCTGGGACTTAGGTGCATTGCTCCATTTCCCTCCTCTCCCCTTCCCTGCCCTCCCCTTCCCTTGCCTTCTCTTCTCATCCTCCTCTTCCTCCTCTCTCTCTCTCTCTCTCTCTCTCTCTCTCTTGGACTATTTCTCACAAGGAATCTGTTTTCTGGCAGAGGAGGGGTCTCTTTTGGACAGAGAGTAGGCTAGGGCTGTGTGCTTCAAGATTTTCAGCCTCACTTGCACTAGATGCACTTTTCCTTCTCTTTTCTTTCTTGTGTTTTCAGGAATTTTTTCTCTCTTTTTTCTCGTTTCTCTTCAGAAGCACTTTCAGAATCAGAAGAATCTGAAGACAGAGACTCACTGGAGCCATCTGAATTACTGCATGAGGAGCAGGAAGACGATGATTATTTGTGCCTTTTCTTCTTTTTTAACTTCAGATTTTGGGATCAGCTCTGCACAGCTGAGTATCAACACCTCAGCAAAGGGTCTGCTAGCTGCCTGTTTTCTGTCTCTCACACAACTTCTAGACCAGAAATCATTTGTCCCAAAACAACAAGATGAGGAGTTGCTTTCATTGTTATGAAGAACCGTGATCCACTTGTCTCTTTCCCGACTAAAGAAATTTTTAGTTGTGTTTAACAACAAAACTCTCATATTCAAAATAGCCTTCATAGATAATTCTCCTCCTTGTCCATTGCCTTCACAGACGTCACCACCCTGAACCATGAAATCCTTAACAACTCTGTGAAAAGGACAACTCCTATAGTGTAATGGCTTCTGGGTAGATTTCCCTGTCACTTTCTCTCCTGTACAAAGACAAGGAAAGTTCTCAGATGTTTTGGGACACACATCAGAAAACAATTCAAGGGCC